ATCAAACAACTCCAAGAACACTAGCTTTTCCACACAAAATCTGAAAGAAACTGACCTTGAAGGTCGAGGCATGTGAGAGGGAAAAACAAAATTTTTCGAGCGGAATAACACATACCATATCAAGAAACATGCTTTAGGGCATGGATGTTACCTTGTTTGCTTTCCAAAACTTGAGGATGATCTAGATGAGGCTTGAAGATGCAAGCCCTCTAATGTTGATCCACACCACCCTTTGTCAAGACGGAAGAACTCTTCTTCAAGGCCACCAACGAAAACACCAATGGAGGCAAGCTATGCGCCCAATGTGTGAAGGAGGAGGCTAGGTCAAGGTGTTTAGAAGAGTGAATATTCAGCAAGAATAGACTCAAAAGTGGCGCATGGTTTTACTTTGAAAAGGGCTAGGTTATTTCGAAACTCTCTTAAGAAAAACCTCAAAAGGAACCCACAAGAAGATGAGAGAATGAGTTAATTAAAAATCTTATTTTCTTCACTCAAATAAGGCCATATATATAGCGCACACTAGGGGGATGAATTGAGTTGTTGCAAAATTCAAATCTTGTCAACAACCTCCTCTCACATCCTCATGATATCAAGTGAATATCTCAACAAGAATCTGACTCAACAACCATCATATGGCCAGCCATATGGTGCGCCCCACTTGGCCTCATAACAGTCCAGATACGTTGAGCAGTTGCATTCAAACTTGAACCAACTGTCTCACTTATTCTCTCAACAAACCAAATCTGACTGGAGCTCATTTGGTTGATCCTATGACCATCATCAGATACCTAAATCAGCGCCCCATATCCTCACTAGAAGATTCTCAAAGATCTCCTCTTGATATTTGGAATTTATTCCAACAAGATCTTATCTTATCATTTTGTTATGAAACAACTTTTCATAGCCAATTCAAATTCGAATTCAAACATTTGAATTCAAACGTTCAAATATTTAAATTTTAAATTCAAATTCAAATTTCAAATTTCAAATTTCAAATTTCAAATTTCAAAATTCAAAATTCGAATTTCAAAATTCAAATTCAAAATTCAAATTTCAAATTTCAAATTCAAAATTCAAAATTTAAACATTTGATAATTAATTTAACTAATTAAATTAATTAGTAATGTCTTGGACCATCCAAGCCCATTAACTAACCATGCGCCCTTTTTTCCTTTTGGTGGGCTTCCAAACTTCTTCTTGGGCTAACAACCATTATTAGGCCCAATACCTTTAATGCTATATTGTCAGACAATAAAGTGTTAGTATGTGACCCATTAGGCCCAACATAGCCACTGACATAAATGGGCTTGGGCCCAATAAGCCCACAACCCATCTAATGACAACACAGAGCACTAGCAATGCTTTGTTGCCCCAGAGCTAGTTAGGTTAATGACATAATCATCCTATTACACATATTTGGTTGCCGTATGTATTTCCTTTCGTCTCGGTTACCTTCCCATAAAACCTAGGGTAAGGAAACGTATCAACCCTTGCGGTTTATGGTAAGGTTTATTCGAAATAGGGAATCTTCAATTTACTGACTCTAAAGGCATATCATCTCATGATCTCTTTTACTATGCATAGATTCCCGAGTCCCTGTAAATGTCATCCCGATTTCTCCGGTTTACAGATAACCTAATCTCTCACAGAGATTTGACGAATTCCTTCAGCTTATCACCCTAGCCCTGTGCTCTTTCAAGACAAGCCCAACAGTATACCTATGAGTCTCCATGTTTCAGGCAGACGAGGTATACAGTCAAAGTATGCCTTCTAGAACACAGTCTATGTAATAACTTCTGGTCTAAGGAAAGACATACCCAAATATAAAGAGACTACTCTAATGATACTCTCTGTGAGATTTCCTCATAGAGTCTCTTTTGTGGGTCTGTTCAGTGCGAACTATACCCTTATAGATCCACCCACGACTTTAGCTAAGACATCTCCATATCTGTAGCTCATGAGGTCTTTACCTTGCATCCGAATACAAGTAGATAAGTCGTGCTAGTCTTACCCGAGATCACTGATCCCCATTCTCAGTGTCTCTAAACTAGGAACATAAAATTAGGAATAAACATCCAGTATCCTTGAATCCTCATGATCGTGATCTCATCACAGATACTCAAGAGATACCTATTTTATTCCAAGGGGTTTATCCAGTTACTCATATATAATATTAACAGTAATATCGAGACAAAATATGAAACAGGATAAAGAATGCTTTTATTTATTTGCGACAATACAAAGGTCCACTTATGTCATAATCTAATCAAAAGATTGTCTCTAGGACATCCATATACTAACAAATTCGTGGAAATAGGTCAATGTTTTCTCCTAATCTAGTGAGTTTCAAGGGTTGGGAGTAGCATGGTTGAGTTTAAAATACATTTCACTTGAAGTTTGGTGTGGTGGAACTTTGATTTTGGTTGAGATTTGATGGAGAAAATCAAAGGAGAAAACTTGCACAAAGAACATGCAAGGCAGCGGGTTGGAGAGGAAGGGAGGAGGGAATGAGAGAATGAATAGTGACTATGCACGTGTGGCTTTGTCCACTTAAGTGGGGTGAGTCCCACTGCCACCTCACGCGATTCAAATTAATTCAAATCTCCTACTTAATTCACTAAACGTCTATTAATTTCTAGACTATTTAGAAACTTTAAATTTTAACATTCACCAATGTCCTTTAATTGCCCTTGATCAGATGAATTCAGAGTTTTCCGGTCGTTTGGTGAAATCACAGTTTTAAGTTGTTATGTGCACTGCGGGCATGCTTCCCCAAAAGCCCTAATTTCCATCAATTTTCATCAGAAATCATAATTCCTAGTCCTATGTACCATTTATAAATTATTTCCAAATCTAGAGCTCAAAATTCATTCGGCACGTTTTTCAGTGCAACTGTACTGTTGTATTTTTACCTGGTAAAAATACTATTCATAATTTTTCCTAAAACTTGCCTAACCACTCAATTTTTCATTCTGAATCCATTTCCAGGGTTATTTTTCTCATTTGAGGCCTTTTACTCACATTTCATTTCCTGGGTTGCGTGTTTGGAAATTTACTGTTTTACCCTTTTTATGTATTTTGGTTATGAATTCAGGATTTCCACTACCTTTAATCCATATTTTAATTTTATTTGTATGTTTTAGAAATACGAGGTGTTATACTATGCATGAAAAATTATGAAGACTAAGTATTTGTTGTAATGTCAAGATGAAATTAGAGTTATAAATTGGTTTATTGAAGGTTCAAGCAAAGAAAAATGTAAAGGATTGTGAAAGAAAATAAATGAAACATAAAAAGCCAAATCTGTCCTGTTTTTGAAAAATTCATATATGGAGTTATAAAACTCCAAATTGGGTGTGGTTTGTTTCAAATTAAATCTGCACGTTTCTCGTATAACACACTAAAAATTCATTGTAATCAAATAAGAAATGTATTTTTCGTGAATTAAATGGTACAGATTGTCGAGATTGGAAACTATGTTACTATTTTGACCATAATGAGTAAAAAGGGCTTGGAAGCTTGTTGGCTTATGTTTGATGCTAAATGAATGTGTTAGAAGGAAATGAATTATTTGATTCATTAATTGAAAGCATAGAATTGTTATTGACACTTTATGTGGTCATTTAGTTTAATAATGGAAAATAAAATTAAGAGTTGTTTTGAGTAGTTTTTAATGAAGAATGGAATGTATGAAATGTATCGTAACTTTACTAGTACCATTCAGCCACTATGTGGTCATGTGACCTAGGTATGGTTTTTAATTTAATTAAGTGCTTGGTTGAATAAATAAAGTAAAATCAAATGTAGGTTATGTATGATGAAAGTGTGAAAATCTAAGTTAACCTATATGTTAAGTGAATTAGGTTATGTGTTAATATATAAGACTTTAAGTATATGTCTAAGTTTGAGTATTGACTTGTGAATGGATATGAATTGGCATGAATTGGTACGTAAGAATATGTTAAGAATTATGTGAACTAACATGAAGAAGAATTTTGAAATATGCATGTAAGAGGATTCTTCAAGTGTAAGTAATTATGTATTGACATAAAGATCGTGTTTGAATAAGTGATCTTGACAGTTATGGATATACGGATAACTTTAGTGACGTACGAGCAGGGTTTATAGAAAAATTAGTTTCAGGTAAGCTCTTGGTTTCAGAATTTTCTCTGGTATGTTGTTCGACCATAGTCCGTTTGGATGATGGTTCATATAGGACTGTATAGATGATGTTATATTGAAAAATAAAATTATGCACGACGATATGTAAAGATAAATTAAAAGAAAAAAATTAAGTCACTTTGTTACTCGGTGTAACGGTGATACTTTTACGTTAAGTCTTCCGCTAAAATAATTAATTATGACAAGTTTTGTAACCATATGTATGTTAACAAACCGGCTGCAGACGAGGTGTTACATCTCACTTGCTCAGCTCCTATGCGGCAACCGATCTACCATCGTTAAGTTTCTTCTATTTTTTCTGTTCTTATTCTATTTTCTTTTCTTTTCTTATTTTGACACATTTGATTTTTTCATTATTTTTTTTTAGTCTTTTATTAAGTGTTCTAAATTTTCATAACGTCTTATTTTTTATATTTTTTTAAGAAGAGTAAAAGAGATATACTTAATTAATTTTTTAATAATATTAAGGAGAGGTGTGGAATGAAAAATATGGGAAATTAAGTGATAAAAAAAAACACAGTGGAAATAATTCAAAACAATACAACAGGCATTTTTTAATTTTTCCCCTAATTTATATATACATTAAGGGGGCGTTTGGTACAGGAGAAATTTTTATTTATCCGGAAATCTCGATTTTCAAAAATATAATTTTTACATTCAGTTTATGATAATATTTAAAAATTTAAAATTTAAAAAAATTCAGTTTCCCGGTAATCTTCAAAATCCCGCGTACCAAACGATCCTGAGATTAATCCTAATCCTAATATTAAATATTTATTCATATAAACCTAATCCTTGGTCCAACAATGTCAATTTTCCTAGGAGAGATCGAGGTAGAAGAAGGATGAGCAAAACAGCGCTTTCACCAGCAAACCATTGGCAACAACCCACAACGCAATCACACAGTAGACACAGTGACAGGTTCATCCCTACGAACCCAATTCAATTCCTTCCATTCCACAAGGGAAGGCACAAGCAGAATCACAAGCTTCCAATTCTGTGTTTCTCAGCAAACCCATCATCACAACCACCGTTGGTGGTGGTTGGATCCGCCAATGCAGACATCTACGTGGAGATCGAGCGGTTGCCGATGGAGGGTGAGACGGTGATAGCCAAGACCGGCCAGACCCTCGCCGGTGGGAAGGGTGCCAACCAGGCTGTGTGTGGTGCCAAGCTTTCATACCCAACCTACTTTGTGGGTCAAGTTGGGGATGATGCTAATGGGAAGCTCATAGTAGATGCTCTTAAGAATGGTGGGGTTTGTGTTGATAGTGTCAATGTTGTTGGGTCTGTTCCATCTGGGCATGCTGTGGTGATGCTTCAGTCTGATGGGCAGAACTCCATCATCGTTGTTGGAGGTACCAACATGAGTTCTTGGCCTCACACTCTTCCTCATGAGAATTTGGAGCTTGTGAGCTCTGCTGGGATCGTTTTGTTACAGAGGGAGATACCTGACTCTGTCAATGTTCAAGTAGCAAAGGTTGGGCTTTTACAATTATATATATTTTTTTAAATGATGATATCTTTCTTCATTTAGCATTGACTCTTGAGCATTGCTTTGAAGTCCTAATCTGGCATTCATGTGGGTAGATGTTAAGAATCCCCATAGTTCAGAAAGTTGAAGGTGATTGCAATGTCAAGGATTATTTATTTTTTTCTTGGAGTGCTAAAAATGATTTAAAAGTTTTAACCTAAGTGTGAATGACATTGCCACAATTTGAACCCAGATATGACTGACGCTCTAAACTCCAACTATGTATGTTTACATATCCTGTTCCAAGTCAGAATAAAGGAGGAGGGTTGCGTCATGCCTAGTGAGCCGATTGTTAAAAAGAGCTATATTTTTGCGATGAACCCATATGATATTTCAGTAGAGCGTTCTCTTCTTAGCAATGTGTTACATTGGCACCCCGGTGTAGCAAAAACTGAGCACAATGGTCCTTTCACCAAGATAGGTGGGTGTTTTGGGGGGCGGTGTAAGGAAGCTAGCCTCGAGCCATCATTCCCAAGTGATGCGCCACATCAGTGCTAGTATGTGGTGAGAAGTAAGCAAGGGTCCTCACACTTTCATGGGCGAGTGTGTAGGGCAAGAAAGCTCATCCAGGGTGTAGGGACTCACTTGGATATTTGAAACATAAGAACTTTAATAGGTAAGTTGAGGGAGTTAGCAAATATTCTAATAAACATGTCAATCTTCAGAGCAATCCCTACTGGAATTCTAAAGAATAGAAGAAGCAGAGATAAACAAGCTTGAGTCAGCATTATTTGACTCCTTAATGAGAAAAAAGGGTGCCTTTCCAATTAACCTTTTGGTCAGAGATCTTTTGAATAATTGAATCACAGGGTCGAGGGTTCCAAAATGAACCTTCAGGATCCCCCTAGGAGACCCCTTGATAAAGTAAAAGGCCATTTGGACCTAGATTATTTGTTAACTGGTGGCAGTGTTATCAATAAATTTGTACTATGTTTGCTTCAGATATCAATGCCAGAGCATTGGTTAGCTGGTCATTTTCTTATGTTGTTTGATTGCAATCTAGCGGAGATACTTATCTGTTATGTACCTTGTCCTTATGATATTGTTGTCATGGTTCTTGTGAACATGGCATGAATATCTTCTCCATCCATAAGATTCTTAACTAGTCAATTTTTTATTTAGTTTTTCCTTTTCTCTTCTTCCTTTCTTCAAGTTTCTAGTGAGAGACTTTGGTTAAACATTACTTGTTTCCTGGATATTCCATTATGTATTATGCTCTTGCATACAGGCTGCAAAGAGTGCTGGTGTCCCAGTAATATTGGACGCCGGGGGCATGGATGCACCAATTCCGCAAGAATTACTGAATTTTGTTGATATTCTGAGCCCTAATGAAACTGAACTTGGTCGCCTTACAGGAATGCCAACTGAAAGTTTTGAAGAAATTACACAGGCTGCTATAAAATGCCATAAATTGGTGAGTTCAACAAGTACCTTAGGAATAGCAATGAAATGCTTTGAACATTATGCTACTTGAATTCCATATTCATTACCTAAGGATATCTTAAGAATTAACAAATTTTTAAATATAATATTTGAAAATCTTATGTAACTTTGAGATTTTCTGTTTTTAATAATCCTTCAAATTATAGCATGTACATGCATACATAAATGACATCAATAGTGTCAGTGCAGAAAGTAATGAACATCATGTAGATATTCATTTGAGATCCTTCTACCGAATTGTCATATATTCTAATACCACCGGTTATCTGTGTCTCACTGCCTTTCTTTGGTGGCCTTATCTCCTAAACTAGGTTTTGAACTTTTAGTCCTTTATATTGAGGCAAATGGAACTGTTTAATCTTCTTGATGTTTACAACCTGCCTGGGAAAAATATAAAAAAAGGGGGGAGGGGGTGGTTATAATTTTTATTTGCTTCTCTTTTCCTTAAATCCAATTAAATGTACCATAAGGGGGGAACATGGGGAAAAAAAGCCCATTTATGACCAATAAATTATTGAATTTGCTACTTGTTCTTTTTTTTTTCTCTTTATTGTCTCTCAATAACTTGATCGTGCAATGGATTTGAAATTGTCTTAGAATTTATCTTCAAATGTCTTGGTTGAAACCTGAAGGCTGATAGATGAATGATTGCTTTTGTCACCGTGCCATTACAAGAGTCTCAGTGTTTCTAGTTATGGTGTTTATTTATATTCCTTAAATTTCAGGGAGTTAAGCAAGTTCTTGTGAAACTTGGGGCAAAAGGATCTGCCCTTTTCGTAGAAGGAGAAGAACCAATTCAGCAACCTGCCATATTTGCTAAAACAGTCATTGATTCAACTGGAGCTGGTGATACTTTTACTGCTGCTTTTGCTGTGGCCTTAGTTGAGGGCAAGTCCAAAAATGAATGCCTCCGATTTTCTGGTATGTATGGCAGAATGCATTTCCTTTTTCTTCTCGGAATTTGTTCTTCGGAGACATGTGCCTAACTATTCTATGATAATCTTACCACAACAGCTGCTGCAGCTTCTCTTTGTGTTCAAGTGAAGGGAGCCATTCCCAGCATGCCTGATAGGAAATCTGTTCAGGATCTTCTTAATTACTGTTGAGAATACTTCATAAGGTCAATTTTTGCTTAACACTTTTTCTTTGTTTCGTTCTTTGGATCTACTCCTTTGTTCTTGTTTAGTAAAGAAGAACCGTAATTTAGACTTCTCCAGAGAAAGTGCATGGTGTCAGTATCTTTATATGCTATTGAACTGTTGTTTTCCTTGCTATTCGGAATCAATTTTCTAATGTTCCTGACTGTAAATATTAAATAATGGTCTACATTCATTCCATTTTCCTGCATGATTCTCAATTAAATAATTGTTAGTAAATTTCTTTAGATGCACTCCTTGTATAATTCACATGTCCATTTATTAAAAATTTCTTTAGTCCATTGATCGTGGTTTGTGATCTTAGTTGTTTCAATCAGACACACGAAATGTGCTGCTAGTGCTTGTATAAGAGAATCCTGTTATTTCTTTTTCCTATAATTAATTGTTAGGTACGAATCAGTGAAAATTTTGAAACATAAAATTGGTTTCAATGACTAACAATAGTGCACCTTATGGTTGTCAAAGGTCAGGAACAGAGTAACTGTGTATGGCGGAGGGAATGACCCTTGAAAATGGCAACAAGGAAAGCAAAACTTTTGTGAAGGAGCATTTCTGCAAGATGGACTCTTCAGCATAATAATATTTTGTCAATGTAATAAGATTAGGCTAGACACTTGGGCTAAATAACAATTGTCATAGGCTCATAGCACTGAATCGCCTAATCCTAGCTGATAGCATACTAGCATTGGGGTTTCTATGCCCGGAGCAGTAACTCTTTTACTTTAGTTGTGTTTCTTTTGGGCCATGGACCTCGTTTTGTACCCACACAAAAAATTATCATAGTAGAAATTACAGAAAAAGGTTGGTTTGTGGGGTTTAAAATTGATATGCATGCAACTATGTTAAAGAGGAAACTCTTTTTGTATCCTTTATTTTCATGAGTAGTATCAGTATTCTCAAGAATTGGTGGTAACTATTTAGTCAAGTGTCTCATTTCCTTCAAATATAAATAAAATAAATTACTTGATGTGTTTATATTCGAAGGGGGATACATGGATAAATATTAACCACAAAAAGTTAAAGAGGTATTGGTACACCCACACAAAAAAAATGGCAGAGTCGAGAAACTTCCTTAAAATATTGTACACCTTGTCTGGTTGGGATGGAGCTGATTTTCTTATCTCGTCAGGTACAAGAAGCAAATATATATTTAGAGTAGGCCAATGATACATATTGAATAAGTCAATGTAATAGATCAACAGGGTCACTTTCCAGAAGGAGATAGCAAAGTTTTTTTCCGCTGATTAATTTTTTTTTACCAGACACAATGCATGCGTTGTCTTTGGATATCAGTATATCTTTCCCAATTCAGACAATGTTCAAAATGGAGACGATGCAGTTACTGTACTCTATCATTGTAAATTATCTTCTAATCAGATGACAAATATAAACCTCAATTTCAATAATTTCTACAAGCAAAAACATAATCCTTTCAAAAGGCAAAATACAATAACTGGGGTTCTGCTTATGTTTTGAATCAAATTTGCAATATATACATTAAGCAAGAAGTAAGCGTCTTTCATATTCGACTAGTGTTCAATTCTGTTTCAATACAAGTTAGTCAAGTTTTGCAAGAATATCTATGCCATACACCTAGGAAAAACACCCCATATAATTTGGTGACATTACAGCGGTGTAATGGAAAAATTTCAGTACTCCCATATATATACTCCACTTAAATTAGAAACAAATGACCCATTTAACTGAATTTACTCCTTACACTTCCATTTTTTATGCCATGTGATTCCATGTGTTCATAATTTTAAGTGGATGAAGTATACACAACAGGAGTACTGTAAATTACTCTGTGCAAGGAAAGTTAACTGAAATAGGACAAACAAAGCAGGCATAAAAAACTTAAACCAATTATCCAATTGTTCTCCCACTGTCTAAAAACAAGAACCCCCCAAATTGTAGAAAAATACTTATATACCCTAGTAAACAGATAAGATTTAGTCTTCAAACTTTATCCAATGGCATGTTTGGTATATTTTTATGTTTTTAATGACTGGTTTAGTACTCTCGCACCATATGAATTTCTCCTTTTTGTATAGTTTAAAACATGTGCTTTCCCTTAAATTGCCGTCACTTATTCTTTTTCACTAAACTTCCATGTCTACCTCTTTCGTGAAACAAAAACTATGAATTTTTCTCCATGGTTTCTAATAATTCTTCTAGTATCCCATTTCTTCCCATATTCAAGCTTGTACATGAGAACAGTGATTCATCAAGTCACCGAAGCAGCAAAAGATCATCAAGACATGGTGAGTATACAATCTTATTTTTCATATGATGTATAATCAATTAATCACTGCTAAGTCCTTCTTATCATTTTTTTTCTCATGTCAGTCAAGAGGAGCTGAGAGAGATCATGTTCAAAGAAAAGCATTGCATGAAGTACATTCAGGGCCTAATCCTATCGGTAACTCAATTCCACAGCGAAAGTTGAAATCAGATATACAAGGAAATCGTTGAGTTTTCCTTTGGATGTTAAGTTTTCCATTCTATGTTTGTGAATTGATGTCATAATCCATTGAAAAATCAATCTTAAAAGGACTTAGAATAAGATTAAATATTCTACTCACACTGTTCCTAACAGAGAACATTATTCAAGTAAGCCTTGGCGTATTTGAGCATTTTCCTGGACACGTGAAACAGAAATGTTAGAGAAGGAGTTTATGTTTTAGTTCCTTCAGCACATCATGAAATTGGAATAGAACTTTATTCCCAGTACCAGTAGTTCATAAGAAACAGTAGGATTGATCTCTCGTTACTGCTTTAATATCATGTAATTAATATATGACAAAATGATTTCTGCAGCCGCTGCACCTACAGCTAGTCAGGATCCGCGTCCGAATTCTAGGATACGGCGCTGGATCCTTGTTTTCTTTTTAAAAACGGCGTGGGGTCCACTTTTCTGTGTCAGCTGTAGAGAGTGTTATTTACGGCGGCTGCAGAAATGTTAAGCGCTTAATATATTAATAAGATATCCATCCCTGAATGATAGTATGATATAGTTTATATACTTTAACTAGCTTGCTTACCTCACAATATATTATTTATTTGTTTGGCTTGGAAGCCTATATGCACAACTTTTATTAGCATGTTGAACCTTTTCAGTGGATCTAGATAACATTGATTTGAAACATACTTTTGTAAAGTTATATAACATTTAACATAGTGTTTTATGGATTCTAAGGAGTACTATTAGCACAAGAAAGAAAGCGATCTGAAATTATCATGTCATTGCTTTTTATACCTAACAAGTCAAATTAGCTAGTTTGAGCACGTGATTGGATGGAAATATCAGACATGAAGGGCTTGTTTCATTTCAATTATAGATAACAATTTTACGCTCTCAAGAATATGGAAGCAGGAAATAAAACCTGTTTGGGTATCTATTTTCTAGGGTGGCAATACAAGTATTACCCGCGGGTTGACCCGTGACTCGATCCGTCAAAATGTGTGCCGTGTCAACCCACGGGTAGGAACGGGTCGTGTACGGGTTGCATAAATGTGACACATTTTTATTCGTGACGGGTCACGGGTCAATCCGCGGATTCGCGTGTCAACCCGTACATGGTTATTTTTGTAATTTTAATTATTTTTATTCATTTATATATTGTTATATATAGTCATTATTATTTATATATTTTTATTTTTATTCATTTATTTTTGTAATTTTCTCAAAAAAACAGAAGCTAGTTTATTTTTGTTATTTTTTTAAATTTATTTATTTTTTAAAAAATCTCACTTTTTTTTAAATTTCAAATTTTGCGAGTCGTGTCGTGTCGACCCGTGACCTGCAACGGGCCGTGTCCGGATTCGTATTTTTTGACCCATTTACAAAACGTGTCGTGTCGAATAGTGTACGTGTCCTGTCGGGTTGACCCGTATTGCCACCCCTATTATTTTCTATCTGAATGTTAAAACTTGTTTTTAGAATAAAAATAAAATAAGAGCACATTTTAGCTGTTTTTGTTTTATTATTTTTAGTGGATTCTCTAGTCCCACTTTAAGGTTTTATTGTTTTTAGCTACCATCACCATGGTTAGCACCAGAGCATACTCAAGTTTTCAACACTTATTCCCAAAATAAAATAAATGAAAGAATTTTTTTTTTCTATTTTTATTTTGTAAAATAATTCTAAATTTTTTTATTAACTTTTTTTATTTTATTTTTCAAAAAGAAAAGAAAAGAACAGAATCAAACAATCTCGAATCATTCTGGAATTTCCACCGATCAATTTTCTAGAAATCCTTAACATAAAATAAAATTAATTGTCAAGACAACTACGTCCGTTAGTAGACTGAAAAGTGATATGACCTCGGAAAAAGAAAAAGAGAAAAAGAAAAGAGTATCTGATTCTAGTCCTTATAATTGAACATCTTCACATACCAAGTTTGGCATCTTGCAGAGTGTAGGGCAAAAGAACATTGATTAACTTTGAAGTCTTTTGAAATGTTAACGCACCAAAAGATTGCATTGATCCAATTAATGATCAGCCAAAAGTGAAAAAGGAAGACAATATTGGGGCACCATAAAAAGCATAATTGTACAATTTTGAGCTGAAAAAAATTAAAGGTGATTGATTATTCGGTTTTCAGCTGTTATACCTACAGAAAAAAGGATAGGGTAACTAAGCTGTTTGTATTACTGGAAAGGATTGTCATGGAAGACTGAACATGCTGTTGGAATAGACTCTTTGACACAACACACAAATTGAAAACAGAAAAGCGTAGGACCCAATTGGCTTCTTGTCGACTCCGTCAATAAAGATAATCATCTAAATATGAAGTATGAGTCATACTCAACACATTTGGCTGAATGACAGATATAGAATCATGCACTATCACAACTAGCAATACACATGAACATGATATCAGTATGACATAGCTTATGCTCATAATTAATGCCTCTTTCTGGTGCAGTTCATAACCATTTTTCATCCAAGTTCAAATATATTCTACTGCTTGAATTGACAACTTGTTAAAACGAATTCAAATGAAATTCTCCCAATTATTTTTAATATTTTCTACACACCTTTGTATTCGTGGTTGCCTAATGGTGTTGTCACAAGACCAATAATTGGTTACAAATAATTGAACTTCACCTTCTTGTGGTAATAGTAATTTTTATTATCTTCATGGATGGGACGACAATTCTCACGTGAATTACCATATATTTGAAACAAAAAGTTAATAGAACTTTGTCTAGCAATTGGCTTAGGCTTTTTGATCCTTCTGATAAAAAATGCAAATATATCATTAGTTTAATTATTTTGATAAATTATTTATATATCTAATGCGAGTGAAATACGTATCGGGAGTATGCATGATTAAGTGGCGCGTCACTTCCATGCGCGACTTATGCAAAAATTAGCGCAATATAATATGTGCATCCTTGCGATGCGCATTCAAGTTGGGCACGTACCTCGTACGCATCTTGTAGAGTGCGACATGTGGCATGCATGTTTTGGCTTTTGCATAAAATGTGCATATACTTCTTATGTGTGTTTCATTCGCATTAAATTGGTAAATAATTGATAAATAATTTGATAAAAGAATTAAATTGGTAATATGTCTTAACATAGGGCACACCAAACCTCTAACTTCTATGCTTATAGAAAAGTTAGAGCGAAAATATGGAATGTGATTTAACATGGCTTATTCTGCATTTGCTTGTAATGGATGCCTTGTTCGATTATATGTGGTTGAGTTATGGTAGCCTTGCAATCTTGTGATCCAATGCTGCAATTGCGGTGGCATGTAGAAAGGTAGAGGGCATTAGGTAGAATGTGGGAAGTACATAGTAGTGCAATGTTGAGAATCAATGTGATAATAGTCTATAAATGGCTATTTGGTGATTGATTTTGGTTATG